GGGGGGAGTGGGGACCCCCCCCCCCCACCGGGCCCCAGCCAGTGAATGGGGACTTTTTTAAAGATCCAGGAGTTGGGAGAGCAGGCAGGGCAGCCATCGAGAGTGGGCAGGGGATGGGGCCAATTCAGAGATTCAGCCAATTCGGCAGTGGCTGAACTCTGAATCAGATTCAGCCGAATCAATTCAGGACACTGAATCGAATCACTGTCTCTCGAATCAGCCGAATCCGAATCTGGAGTGAATACTAGCCTCTTTGCACAGGCCTAATGCACATGTTTGGCAATGTTTAGTTTACTTTTCAGTTAAGGTAGCAGGTCCATGTTACCCAAATACTATAGCACTTGCCACACAAGTGGTTCTTTTCTGGGAGAGTTATGGTACCCTCTGAGGGTGGCATTCATAGCACTAAAATATACCAGGCCCCCTTTCACTGGTTTTATATTACACCAATATAACCACCATTTTTAAAAATAAATGTTTGAAACCAGAGTGAGGAGACACGGTGGTTAGAACAGAGGAGAATCTGTTCTTGTGTTAAAATTAAGTGTAAGGCAGTGTTACAGAAGGATGGCATAAATGGCAGCCTAATCCATGCATTGTCTCTTTCATAACAATCTGTAGTGAATTAAACACAGGTTCACTGTGCCACGTTAAACATTCATTTGGAGAGCTGTCAGCAGCAGCATTACCTTGGTGGATGGAGGTTGCCACCTTTGTTGTGGTCTGGTTTATATTTGCTGCCTGAACACACAGAGTTTCTTTATAAACCACCTAATAGCACTGATTACAAGTGCTAAGAGTAAGAGATTAAATAGTAATAGAAATCTGTTCAATTAGTTTGTGGGCAGTTTCTGATTGGTTTTCCTGGCTGATTGCAAGTTGCTTCCAATCACATAATAATAATAAAAAAATATCATTTCACATTAGATCTGATGTTGTCCAGCGCCTATTAGCGTCAAGCCAATAGATGTCATCTCTTTCATTAATTAATCATTAATCATCTCAATTAATTACTTTCAACTTAGATTTTTCCTTCTACAGAAGAACAGTGGGGGCCAAAATGAGATCAGGACCCCATTGTGCTAGATCATATATGCCAAGACAGAGACAATTCTCACCTCAGACTCGGTGTTTCCTTCCAGCTTCCTGTTGTATTTCAGTATTAGCTGGTTTACTCAGCAGTGATCTCCTTTCTGTTTCTTCTAGGCTGACTGGGTTTGGGATACACAGCTGGTTTGCAAAAAGCATGATGGGTCCTGACGTAAAGATGCCTACCACCAATGATTTCTATGCGGACTACTATACCATGGCTGGGATTGCTCTGGCATCCTGCCTAGCCACGTGCCCGGTTTTTGGGCTTCTAGGACTGCCGCTGTTCATGGTTCTAAGAGTTCTGGCATCATTTCTACAGCTTGGCCTTCTCAACTTGTAAGTGAAGACGTCCAAGTGACCTGCACCTAGAGGCTGGTCAGAACACATGGTATTTCAGAGTGGCACGAGGCCTTGAATCTCTGGCTGTTCTCAGCTAATAATTTGGGGAGAGGGAAGAAATTTCATAAAGATCTAGTGCAGTGCAGAGAACCAGCAAATCATCTGTGCATGGAGAATGCTGATTCACGTGCTGTGCACTCTTATTGCAGGCAAGAGGGAATGTAACTCAGTGTTCCTTCCCTTATCTTCACTCTTTGAATTATAGTGAAGCTCTGTTGTTCTTGACACCCCCCCAAAATCATCCATTGTTCTGGGTAGTGTAGCACAGTTCAGTGAGACTAAGGGTATAGCTACATGTTATAACTAGCATGTACTAACTTTCAGGAATGGTAATACCCTCTGCAACGTGCACTGCTCTGACCTGCCCTTAGAGGCCTGATGGACAGAGGCATGGCTAAGAGCTGGCGAGTTGACTCTGTGTCTGTCCTGCACACCTACTCTGTAGGGCAGCATAGGTCTCAGAAACAGGCCAGTGGCCCAGATCAGGACCTTGACAGCCCGTGGTGATGCATACTGGGTCCATCAACACCCCCATCTGCCCAAACTGAGTCCCGACTGCCTCCCACCAGCCCAAATTGGGCCCACAGCACACCCCTCCCCCCCTTCCCCTTAAATCACACTGTTCACCCCAGATCGGCCCCCACTGATTGCAGATTCCTGCTCACCCCCCACAGCTTTCTGCTTACCTGTGCCTGTTGGCACTGTCCTGGGGAGCAGTCAAGGGTAGGGAACCTGTCTAACGCTGCCACTGCTGCTGCTACTCTCTGGGCTAGGCTCAGGCCAGAGAGCAGCAGTTGCAGCAACAGGTGTGATGGCAGCAGCTAGCAGGTGGGCAGCCAGCACAGGTAAGCGGGGACATGAGGTTCGGGGAAGGCAGAGGGGGAGCCCCAAGTGTGGCGTTGAGCACGGAATGGGAGTGGGGGTTGGGGGAGTATTCTTATTTTTGGGTCTACCCTGGCTGAGGGAAGGAAGAGCATCCACCCGGGGATGGTTTGGAGTGATGCCTCCTGGGATAGTGGAGGACAGCTCCCAACTCTTTGCCGTGTAGAATAGTCTGATGTGGCTGCAACATGAGGTGCTGAAGGTGAACTCGAGATAATCCTTGCTGGAAGAGGACTCTCTCTGAGGTGCTCAGAGGACAGTTATCTTGTGTTTTCCTGCCCTGATGTGTGGACATTCCCTTCTCAGGAGTCCTTAACACATCTTAAATGTAATGTGTAACCATATCCTTAGTCACCCACTTGAAGATTTTAAAACCAGAGTGCACTTCCATCTTGACTGGTATGTCAGAACTGATTGTATGTTTATAAAAAGGGGAAAAATCTGATGTTTGAGGCTGCAAAGAAAATCAGTCAGGAAACAAACAAAAGGTTCCCTCCCCTTTCTCACGCGCTTTTGACATGCAGTATGCTTGCTTAGGGGAGTTGAAACTGATTGACAGAATCCCAGAGTTCCCCTCTGTATGTGCCAAAAAGGCATTTGCTCTCTGTGACAAACATTATTCACCAAAGCTGTATTATGGGCAACTGGTTGGATTCTGCTGGCTTCTGGTTTTCATAGCTCCCACTGCTGTGTGCAGTCCCTGGGGGATACATGGGGGGCATGTGCCCCCCTGGATTTGTGCACAGGGTGAGGGTGGGCTGCTGACTGTGGGCTTGGGGCCGGGGGCTGCCCCAGCCTCTTCCTGGTGGTGGGGCTGGGTTGGGGCTGTGCTCATGGCAGTTGGAGGCTGGAGCGAGAGGCAGCAGTGCTGGGAGGGGTACCTATGGGGTAGACTACAGCCACTCCAAAATTTGCCATAGCCACCCTGTTGCCCCTCCTCCCAGAGCCACTACCGCCCACCTCAAGCATAGACCTGGCCCAGCCTTCATTGCAAAGAGGCTGGGGCAGCCCGAGCCTCCAGCCGGCAGCCCACCCTCACCCAGCACACAAATCCAGAGCGGCGTATACCCCCTGTGCATCCCCTGGGGTTGCGTGCAGTGGTGGGAGCTGCCCCCCCTCCCGCGCCCCTCAGATGAACCACCCGCAGCTCCAACCTGTACCCCACCCCGATTGAGCAGTGCCTGCTCCAGCCGCAACTTCATTCCCTCCCTCACTGTGGGGGCCTTGATCTGCCCTCCGCCCCCCCCACCAAGACTTACCAGCCAGATGCTGCTCTCCAAGCTCCCAGCTGCATTCTTGACTGCATGCATGCTGCAGTTGCATGTATGCACACATCATTTATCGGTGAGATTATCAGCTACACAGGCCAAAATAAGCTGATTGCCGATTATGTCAATTTCCTTTTGTCGGTGCCGTTCCAATACAGACCATTATATCGGTGCACCTCTAAAATATAGTCAATTTCCAGACTCAGGTACTGTTTACAAGTAATATCTATTTAGTGCTTTAGAACTGATTTCTTTTTCAGTGGGAGTTTCTGAAAAGCCAGAGTAGCTGAGGAAAAAAGAACCCGGTTGCCATTTTATTGCTGGTGCTTGTGGGGAAGGCTGCTGTGAAAACACAGCGTCTTAGGGATGGCTATTCATTTTTATTGCTCCTGTTCAGAAGCACCCTCTCAACGAGGGGCAAGTCTTTGACTTTGGTGTGCATATCAGACTGAGAAGCAGAGACCCTGAAACGAGTTCTTTATAGATTGATTGTAAGGCCAGAAGGGACCTTGGAATATCATCTGGTCCAGGCCCCTGCACCAAGCAGGAAAGGTAACTGAGGGTCAGGTGATGTAGGGTAACATTTTTAATCATGTCTTTTATCAAAGTCATATTCTGAGAAGCAATTTAAGCAGTTAGGAGGTAAAGTTCTTCTGATTTTCAGTAGGCTCCTACGTGCTAGTGCCCCTTTTGCAAGTGAGGCTTAGGCTCATAATTCACATAGGCTGTGAACACACATCTAATTTCTCCTGGGAGAAAAAACTTTTGTCCTGGGATCCTACAGATCTTTAAGTTCTGTAAATTAATTGAGGCCCATTCAGGTTAATTTCCTGTCATTTCAGGGACAAGCCTCTATCAGGCTCTGTGTTCTTGCTCACTCCCTACTGGCAGAGGTGCAGCACTGCAGCTTGGCAGAGCTACATGTGTAAATGGCTGTTGCTCCTGTTTTGATCTGGGTCAAAACCTGGGACAGCCAGGCCTGTCTCAAATGAGGGGCCTGTTTATAGCCTGAAGGCCAGATCTTGTTCCACTTGTTAGGCTCCTAAGTGTGATGCTGTTCCTCAATATCTAGTTGTGTCATTGTGGAGGAAGTTGGATCATTGGCATGGTAGTTGGCCATGTTGTTACACAAATTGCCAATTGCTTAAATTACGAGCGAGACCTTATAAAGGGGGATAAGATAAAATGCTGCGTTTATTGATTACATGAATTAGACATAGAGGTTTGGATACACTACTTATATAGACACACAGATTATCATACACAAAACTTACACACAGGCACATACAAACATAAAACAATGTCTATCTTATTTAGACATTGTAGTTACCACCAGCAGTTGTTTAGTAATAGCACTGGGCGGTCGGCTTAGACCTTATTGAGAGAAGATGCAGATAGTAGGTAAGGTGGTTATTATGAGAGAGAGATCTTGTAGATAACAGCTTGGAGCGGGGTGAAACATGCATCTGTGCTCTGACGAAACAGCAGTTGAGAGACTCGTCCAACTTGGCATTCTTAAAGTTCTCTTTTATAGGGTTAGCATCCTTTGTTTTAGTGCTTTGGGGTTTTTTTATACCCAGCTTTTGTTTTTGTGGGGGGTTTTTTTTTCCTGTCTTTAGCTTATTTTAGCCCAAGGTTAGTTTGGTTGTTAAAGTTGGTATTTTAGCCTTTGGAGTATTTGCTGTGTATTTGGCAGGATGGGTGCATTTTTTTTCTTGTTATTTTCTTGTGTCCTAGGCCTGAAAGGGATTTTTTAGCTTATTTATTAATTAGTTTACTGATTGGTAATTTACATTTGGCACCTTGTTGCTTACATAAACAGTTAAATCTTCTCCCATTTCTATGCTATTCTCTCACCATTTACCCTTTCACATACACCCATTTAGAAAGGGTATACAGAGTTTATTCACTTATGTCAAGCAAAAGGATACAAAAATGGAGTTTTCAAGTTACTTAGACAAAACTAACATGGTTACATTTCATTACTATTACACTCTGTTAACGTGAGCTACATTAGTTTAGTTCCTGCTACATGTTTTTTCTTTGACCCTTTGAACACTAGTGTTGAATGGGTTATAAATTACATTTGTTTGATAAAAAGATATTTTGTTTTTAGTTGCAGTTTTTGAAGTTTTGGATACTTTGATTTTATTTAACAACACATATAACAGATGACAAGAAATAAACTTTTAATTATGATTTTATCACAAATATTAAGAATAGCTGTTTTTGAAGGAGCCCATTTTGTGAAGATGTTATATTAATGATACACTAACATTTGTTTGGCTTGTTTTGAAACATTTAGGATTTTTTTTACCTTGATGTAGTATAGAAATACTGCGCGCTTGTGCGTTATTATGAGTGGCAGTGGTTAATTGGGTTATTTGCACATTTTGCATCAGAAGGTTGAGCAGGGTTGTTTAATTGACTTCTATAGGAACATTAAAATTTAGCAAATTGTAATTTTTTATACTTGTATCTTGAATTATTTGTTTTGTGAAATAATACGTGAAAAGTGGAGTTTGAACAAGTGACATTACACATATATTGCTGCATGGGAGGAAATGAAATTTTTTAAAAAATAATTTGTTTGCGGCCACCCCCCACCCCCCAAATTATTCCAATAAAATACAATTTGGTTGTGTTATTATTTAATTTATTTTAATATCATGTGGATAGTTTATCGCTCTGGAATAAGCTGGGGGTTTCTAAGAGTGGTAATGTGGGACATATTTATTGATTATTAGTTTATTTACTACACATACGATTGACAATTTTGTCTTGGTTGTTTAAATATTTGCCAATTAAACGAGGGGTTTAAATGTGTTTTTTTGTTTGTTTGTTAGTTTGTTTTGTACAAATGGGAGGGTTATGAATGACTAATATTTCTGGGGGTGTGTGTGTGGTAATGCTTGAATTACTTGCATACTTCAGAGACTAGTTAGGGAGGTTACATACATTTTGAAATTAAGGGTTTACTTAACAAAGCAAAAAGAAAACCAATAAGCAAAGCTAAGTTAAAATATTATGACACATTAATATATTAAAAATAGAAAAACACAACAACAAATACAAATTAACACTTATTTGTTTTTTTTATTGGTGTTTAACAGCCACTGGTCTTATAGTCTATCGGTGTCATTGGCATCCTGTGGCTTTTTACTTCAGTCTCAATGAGACATGGATTTTTGTGGGTGATATCTTTTATTGGACCATCTGCATGGTTGGGATAGACTCAGACAAGCTTATGGGTACCACAGTACCCTTCCTCAAGTCTCTTGGAGAGACTTTGTTGATGTTTGTCAACAGGAGTATTTGTACAAGAAGAAGGATCGCAGCAAACATGCCACTGCAATACAGTGTGCCCTCTGCATCTTCCACCATATTGTGTCGTTGCAGGCCACAAAATGGCTTTGCTCACTCAAAAACTCAAGCATGAGCTTAAGGGCTTTCCTGAGTCAGGGTCTATAATTAAACTGTTGTAACCCAGGCACATGGCTCTGCCTGTGGCCACCACCGAATAGCGGGATCCTGGGGTGCCCGGTAGCCAGTGACCTTGCACAGACCTTCTAGTGGCTGCAGCAGGTTCCTCAAGAAGAGGGTCTCCCTGTACAGAGGATGAGTCTTTCAAACAGGGTTAACTATATGCAGGATTTAATTTGTATACAATATCAATTAAAAATAATCAAACAGGTTTAACTCATAAAGGCTATTAAAAATAGCCACAATAAATACAATACACACCCACAGCCCCGGTAATGACAGTCACAACATATAACCTTTCCTTTGAATACCCATAACCTGAAAGGAGAGTGCTAATCACAGATGGATATTAAGGCACCAACACTGAATCAACTGAGTTTACAGACTTATAGGCTTGCCCCTACTTACGTACACATCCAATCAATAACTTTTATACACCAGGATGAATATGATGGCTGTCTGCACACTTAACAGCTTGGGGCGATGCCATGAGAGAAATAGCCACTTTGCCCTTCTCATTGGAGTGTAAGCAGGTCCTCCTTGGCTTGGGTCCCTCTGTTTGCTTCAGGTATCACACACTCCCGCACTGGCATCTCTGCAGTACACTTCTCTCCCCCTGATCTGCATCCCCTGACATAGCAGGCTGCAGGGTCTGGGCTGCTGGCTCAGGTGGTC